AGGAATGCTTGGACGTTCCCTTGGCTTAGCTGGAAGAGGAGACACAAAATCTGGTTATCACTCAAGCCGATGTGACTTTTAAATTATGAAGTTATTTCTGTCTCTCTGACACACACACACACACACACACACACACACACACAAGATATGCTAATCTACCTTAAAATACTTTCAAATGAGGAAAATTACTTATTTCTATCATGGTGATTTCCATATTAAAAAAATATATGACATATGAACAATATTCTGTATGTCCATCAGGCAACATCCTCAAACACAGGACAACCCACATTGCTCGTGGCTTAGCTGAATGTAGTCTCAGGCGCCAATTCTGGACACAATTACCAAGATGCATATAAGGATACATAAGTTCAAGCTCTCCTATCTTCACTGATTATGTCGACAGCAGAAAACTACCCTAGCTGAACAGGTGAAAATGGATGGTCTAGACACAGGCCCCACCTGGCCAGTCAGGGAGGTGGGGAAGGAGACATGAAGAGAAGACAACCCTTACTGGTCGGTTCCTTTAAACTACAAGGAAATTAGGTCATATCAATTATGAGCGTTATTTAAATCAGTACAGTAGATACACTAGGGTGAAAATACTCAGCTGCCAGTTTACGCAACACAGAGCTCAATCTGGTAAAAGGTTCTTAAGAGAAATTTAAGAGAATGCCTGAAGCCACAGCTCATGTTACACCGTGTGTAACAGTTTCACAATGCTCTCCCCATCACACTATGGAATCTGACCCTGGTGATTCTGCTACGCACAACAGAGAAATATACACTCACCAGAAGCCTCCCCTCAATCTGTCCTCAACCTTTCCCAGAGGCAGGATCAGAAATCGTAAACAAATACGGTGCTGATGCCCTGAATGGCTGATGCCATTACAGCAAAACAGACCTCACAGCACCTAATGTAATGGAACTGTTTTTCACTGGACACATGCCACATGCGAGACACAGGAACGGGACTTTACGTGGTTCTTCTAAGGCCCACAAGGACACCGCCAGGGAGGTGTCATCCCCTCAGTTTGTAAAGATACAGAAACCACTTAAGTTCTCTTAACCACCAACTAACAGGATTCCAAATCAGATCAGTCTCATTCAGGAGTTTAGACTTTTCACATTTTTGTATACAAAATGCACACTATGCTGCTTAGCCTATGGTCAGAGTCTACACAGCAAATATAATTAGAAGAGAGTTTCGTCCTAAAGAGCAGGAAGTCGAAAGCCTTTCCCCATAGCCTACTAGGGTTTCTCCCCTTTACCGCTAGATGGCACCCTTGGCTTGGAAAGGTTAAAAAGTAGCTTGAATTTAAAGAGGTTTGGGAGTACAGATTTAAATAAACACACAGGAGTTACAGGGGTCCTATGCCCTAGACTATCTGGAATGGCTCTACTTTAAAAAAATCTGTGTCTAATCACATGACTGAGGCTGGCCTCAGTGTCCTTCCAGGTCTGCTGGCACCGGGAGAGCGTGCCCACTTTGTGACTGCTTATCCTACCCTGAACCAGGACTGCCCATCAGAGGCATGCCCCTCGGAGGAGGACAGGGACCCCAACAGTCTCCCCTGCCCCAGACCACAGCAAGCCTTCCAGAACCTTCTGCTAAGTGGCTCTGTGAGAAGTCTGGCAGGAAAGGACAGTGCTCAGGGCCAGCCTTACCTTTGCCAGCCGCTGGAGAAGCACACACGCTGGCACTCACTCCCGAGACGGACCCTGAGGAGGACTTTCTTGCAAGACTGCCAGCACATCCAGGTGGCTTTAACATGGTTTTCTTCAGCCCAAACTAAAGCAAAGACTTCATTACTACCCATGGCTTATTACTGCAAAAGTGGGGTTTTTAAATGGCTTTTAGTAGTTTACAAATTGTCGTGAATTTAAGGAAGAAAAAGGTCAAGCAGTACTCCCCACAGAGCGGCCGACAAAGCCCCGCGTGAGGAACACCTGGCAGCCTGCTTACGGCTGATCTGGGGCCTGGACCCTGGCCTGTGGAGTCAACAGCTGCGAGGCCCAGCACCGGGCAGCCTTAACGAGTACCACCAGTGATGTGGCACTTTCCACAAGCACACACAGCTCAACGCTGAAAATAAACAGCAAAGATGTGGATGGTGGTCCCCATGCCTGTGAGGGGCTGCAGTTTTCAGAGCACCGACGTCCCATCTCCTCGGTGCACGGATGCAGTGAGGGAGACCCTGAGCTCAGAGAGGCTGACATTCCTCAGTCCATTCGGCTCCCCGGGGGCAGAGGCCGGCCCCTCAGGCATGCCAGGCCTGTGTGCCCTGCATTTCGCCAAGCTGCCTCTCCTGTTTTCAACCGGGTCCTATTTTCAACCTCCCTAACCTATTTTCAACCTCCCTAACCTTGATTTTAATCAAGACGCATCCCACGTGGGGGACTTCCCTGGCGGTCCAGAGGTTAAGCGCTCCCACCGCAGGGGGCCTGGGTTCAATCCCTGGTCGGGGAACTAAGATCCCACATGCCGCATGGCGCGGCCTGAAAAAAAAAAAAAAAAAAACACGTCCCCTGTATACAAAGCGTCCCCTTATTCCCTTCGACCACAGGCCAAAGCCCCCCTTGGCACTGGCCAACCCACCTTGTTTGGAACAGGGAGCGATCGCTTGCCTTGGACCACGTGGTTTCCACCGGCTGGCAAGCTAGCGACATCCCGGGCGGCACGGGGCTTGTCAGGGGGCACGCTGCTGTGGGAATCCTTTTCATTTAGGATTTTCATCCTGGAAGGACTAGCTGGTTTCTCTTTCATGGGCTGAAAAATTGTAAATTGAAATGTGAGAACTATCTAGTCTTTCACAATGTACAGATACACGAAGGCTTCAGTTAGAGCAACTGCAGCCACCATCCATCTCCCAACACACGGTCCTCAATTCATCACCTGGATGGGGCTTCCCTGGTGGCGCGGTGGTTAAGAATCCGCCTGCCAATGCAGGGGACATGGGTTCAAGCCCTGGTCCGGGAAGATCCCACGTGCCATGGAGCAACTGAGTCCATGCGCCACAACTACTAAGCCTGCGCTCTAGAGCCCGCGAGCCACAACTACTGAGCCCTCGTGCCACAACTACTGAGCCCTCGTGCCACAACTACTGAAGCCCACGCACCTAGAGCCCGTGCTCCGCAACAAGAGAAGCCACCGCAGTGAGAAGCCCACGCACTGCAACCAAGAGTAGCCCCTGCTCGCTGCAACTAGAGAAGGCCCGCGCGCAGCAACAATGACCCAACGCAGCCAAAAAAACAATAATAAAATAATAAATAAAATTCATCACCTGGATGGAAAGGAATATGGCGGTTCACTTGCTCCGCCAAATTACCAGACAGAATGGTGATGGAGCTTGCTTCCTCACTGAACACAGGGCAAAATAATACCAAGACAGACCATTAATAGGAGGAGCTCCTCTAGAGCGCCTCCTCAGTCAGCATTCACATTTAAGGGTGATAATGAGGAAACTGGTTCCAGTTACATAAAGTTTAAAATGCTGTACAGAACGGAATCATTCATTAAATGGTCATGCCCTCGACCAGAGGGGCTGCTTAACTGCAATAAATCTTCATCTAGGACTGAAAGCCATTTTTCTTTGGCAAGCAGAGTCCAACAGAGAATAAATTCCTGACATTCAGGTACAAGGGCATTCATGCAACAAATCCACGCTTACATAAGTAACCCCTCATACGAAGACTTCATAAAAAGCAAAAGAAGCTCAGAAAGCAGTTAACTTTCTCTTTTCTTTACATCATTTTTAAAATTGAGATATACCTCACGTAACATAAAATTCACCATTTTAAAGTGTACATTTCAGTGGTTTTTAGTATACTCTGTGCTGTGCAACCACTTACAATGTAACTTTAGATCATTTTTGTTGCTCCTAAAAGAAACTCGTGACCATTAGCGGTCACTGCGCATTCCTCCAACCTCCCAGCCCAGACAACCACAGATGTACTGTCTCTAGAACATGACTTGCCTATTATGGTCACTTCCTGTACATGAGACCATACGACATGGGACCTTCTGCGTCTGGCTTCTTTCACTGACCTAGTTCCCCAGGGTCATCTGTATGTAGCATGTGTAAGTCCTCCATTTCTTCATGGCTAAAAATATTCCATGTATGGAGAGACCACATTTCCCTTATCCATTCATCAGCTGATGGGCATCTGGGTTGTTACTGACTTTTGGTTATTATGAATGCTGCTGCTATGAACATTGCTACACAGGTTTTTACGTGGACATACGTTTTCAGTTTTCTTGAGAATATGCCAAAGTGTGGAAATTGCTGGGTCATGTGATAATTCCGTTTAGGTTTTCCAGGAACTGCCAAACTGTTTCCACAGTGGCCGCACCACTGCATAGTCCCATGAGCGATGTACATCCTCACCAACACTTGCTGTTTTTTCTCCTAACTACAGCCATCCTAGCAGCTGCCTTGCAAAGACACTTCTAAATAGTACAATCAAGTGGTCCAGCTGTGTCTAGAGGCGATCCTCACAGGGGTGACCTGTGTCAGTCACTCCGGATGTGAATGACTCTCCCCACAGAAACAATGTGGGGAGTGATGGGGGTGCCCAAGTGAGCTCAAACGCTGCCTAGGGATCCAGCTAACACCTCACTGACCAAAAACTCAGCTCTCTGGCAATAGAGCACTACTTAGGGCCAGGAAAATAAAAGGGCCCAGAAGAAGCAAAATTATACCCCAACTCCCTGTCCTGAGTCCACGTGTCACACACAGAACCACGCTGCTTTCATTCTAGAAACATTACTTCAGAAATTTACATCCAAATGATTTCCAGAAAGAGGAGCTTGCATGATTAAAGGAGCAGTCTCAGCCCTGGGGAAGCAATGGTCGCACGCCCCGTTGGTACAGGGCTCTGCACGCCAGACCCACTTTCAGCTTGGCTCAATGCTGGGTTCTGATAGTAGGGAGTCGTGTGGTTCTGGAGATGTGCTCGTAGAGGGAAGCGATTTTCTAGGCCCTTGCTGGGTGTTCTGCATCGACCTAAACCTGCTAACAACCCCACAAAGCATCACTCCTCTCTCACTGGCTCGGAGAGCTTAAGCCTGTCTCCGAGTGCAGCGGAGCGGGGAAAGGGCGCAGGGCAGGCTCCAAGCTGCTCCTCCCTGAGGCAAACCCAGGAGGTGGCTGCAATCTGACACCCACACTCTGCTGCCCCAGAGCCCTCCCACAAGAGCCACTCGGACCCCCGCTTCCCAGAGATGGCTGGCCGCACCCCAAAGGCACACAAGTCCACTGCCACCTCCCGGGGCAGTGCATCCCCTCGTGCCTGGGAGGGAACAATCTAAGCTCAGTCATGGTTGAGGGACCGACGGCCATTCCCGGAGGGGGATCTGGGAAGAAGCTGCTTGTTAACGCACATAAAGTCCCCTAACGGGTGGGATGCCCAGTGCTGGAACAAAACAGAAGCAAAGATCTCAAACAGAATTGAGGAGGAGGTGTTTTTAAGTCACCACAGCAGCGAGGCAGCCCCGCCCACGCGCCCCAAGCCCCGCTCCCCGCGCCGCTGGCACTGCTGCTCCTGGACTTCCTACGCCTGCGCTTCGGAGCCTCAGAGCAGCTGCGTTCCCGGGTTCCTCCCCACAACGGTTTCTGTTCTAGGGCACAAACCAAGTGGGCTCAGAAGCACGGCAGCGGCTGGCTCCCCAGATAAATGTCCTGCTGGGGGTCGTGGCTACCTTCTCCAGGGCCGAGGGAATGCTTTTTCCTCTAAGAGACGAGGCTCGCGGCGGCAGCAATTTGCTGGTGACCTTTTTCTGAGTGCCAGCCTGGTCCGGAGGGTGAGCAGCGCCTGGCTCCACTGGCAAAGAAGAGCACGAGGCGTGCGGGGGCCCCGGCGTCTGGGGGCGGCTCGCCTGCACAGGAGCAGGCGGCAGGGCCGCACCCGAGGGGCACTGGGAGCCCCAGAGCGGCGGTCTCCTCGAGGGGCTGTCCGGCAGGTGGTACGTCTCCCTCTTCAGAGACTTGGGGCTTTTCTTCGCTTCATTTTCTCTCTCAAAGAGGTGTATTTTCAGTTGTGACTCCTGTATGAATCCTTCCACTCCCTGGCTCCCAGGGTCTTCGGGCGTGGCAGCCGGGGTCGCCTTGGCTTTGCTGTTGCTCTGTATCTGTAAGGCCAGTAAGTGAGCTTCTTTATAAACTTCCACAAATTTTTCCCCAGTCAGAGGACTCCAGGTGAAGTGACTTTCAGATGCTGGCAAAGGAGGCTCTTCAGGAATTTGACGATTTAATTCTAAGCTGGCAGCAATACATCTTTCTTTATGGCCAACAGGTCCAAGAAAGACTTCATCATCCTCACTGGCACTATTTTATCAGAAAAGGATTATTAATAACACAGGCATTTAAGTGAAAGATTCACTGAACGTGGTTGTACAAAGGCCAGGGAAGAAACTCATTTGTTTACCTTGAAGAAGACAATGAGAGATCAAAGTCGAACTTTTCATCAGCCAGAAGAGCATCTGGGGAGGAAAAGGTCAGTCGTTACTTCAGGGATGGGGCTGCTAACGAGAGAACATCACCATAGTCTCCAAAGCTGTCAAAACTAGTTTGAAATCTCACTTCCAAAAGTGTGACATCATTATTTTAATAGCCACATTTTCTTAAGGGGCGTTAGATTATCTTATTTTTTCCATTTCCTTTTAAAAATAGCATCAGCCATTCTGTGTTTGCTAAGCTGCCACCAAAGCCTAAGTCCTTATTTTTCAGCCCTTATTTTAAAGATATAATCTAAAATGCATTGGCCGAGTCACTGGAATAGCTTTGCAAGACTAGGTAAGTCGTTTTCTGGTATAGAACGTTTTCAAGAGACCAGCTGCCTCAGCTCCCCTAGAATTAAATTCCCCATTTACAAATGCACATAGTCCTCTTTCAGAAGCAAATTTAGCGTTACTCAAGCGCACGGCAGGGCTCCATGCATACCTGTCGACTGTCGCCTCTCCTCGGAGCTCATCCTGAACGCCCAGAAAAAACTGCTCCCCGTGCCCTGTCCACCACGGGGCCTTCCCCAGCCCTGCGTGTCCACGAGCCTCCACTGACAGACCACGGGCTCTGGGGCAGCGGGTCCCTCGGCTGGGACGGCCGCTCGCTCCTCCAGCTTCACACCCCACTCCACTCCTGCCCTCCCCTAGGGCTCCTGCAGACCCCGGCCGGACCTCTGCCTTAGCATCCCTATCCTGTAAATGTCTCTCACCAACCAGACTGTAAGCTCCTCCAGGACAGTAAATGCCTGATACTCTCCCAAACTCCCCAATGTCCAGCTAAAGGCCCGGACTCTCAAGCAAATATTTATCAAAATGCAATAAACTGGTATTTCACTACTATAAACTTCATATACCACTTTCACAAATCTTACTTTATTTGATCCTAATAAACAATGCACCATGCTTATCAAAACCATAAAATTTTAAAATATACTGATAGCCTAATTAGGTCCTACTTAGTCAATTCAATTAATCCTAACTACCTAATCAAGGAAAAGGTAGAAAGCACAATTGCACAAAAGAAATAAAGAGAAATAGAGAAAGAGATTAAAAGATTCATAAGCTAGTTTGCTCAACTCTGTGCACATAAACCTAAGAACTTGGCTGACAGAGATAATGTTCTAGGAAATAGAATATTTTTTGTATTTAAATGATTAAAATCGATTTATTTACAAACCTGACTCCAAAAGAAAGAAAAAAAAATCTTAATAGTTCAATTATCACAAAATAACTGGAGAAATTTATTAAAGAGCCATTCTCCCCAAAAAAGCACAAGTTTCGCAGGATGATTCTATCAAATCTTTCAAGAATATGTCATTCCAAAACCATTTATACTGCTCCAAAGGACAGGAAAAGAGAAACCTTCCAGCTTGCATCTATGAAGCAAGCACAACCATACCAAAAACCTACCAAGTTTGCTCTATAAAGAAAACTAAGGACTTGGCTTGTGTCAACATAAAAATCCTAAATACGCATATTTGCAAACAGAACCCAGCAACACATTAAGATTCGATGATGATGACTCTATCATGACCCAGTGAGGTTCAGCCAGGACCTCAGGACTGCAGGACAGTTTAGTTTCACATAATCTAGTAGCATGATCACATTACTAGACCTAAGCGGTAAGCCAAGATCACCTCCACATACACTGACAAGGCACATGACAAAACGCAACATACACTGTTGACTACAAAGAAAGTAATAGACATATTACTACAAAGAAACTACAAAGAAAGAACTACAAAGAAAGTAATAGACATATTTTATCATATAAGGAAGTACCCATCTCAACCCCAAAGCCAAAATTAGATTTAATGGGATACCATCAGAAGCATTCCTCCTAAAGCCAGGAGCAAATATATATTATCAGTTAGGATAGGCTAACTTATGCTGAAGTAACAAACAGTCCCCAAATCTCAAGTGGCTTATAACAGCAAAGCTGTATTTCTCACTCAAACTGTCTGCCAGGGCCCCATTCCATGTCCCCCTCACTCCAGAACCCAGGCTGACGGAGCCTCCACCATCGGAAGCACTGCTGGTCTTCATGGCAGAAGAAAGGAAACAGCAAATTCCACATTGGGTCTAAAAGACCTACAAGTGACACATAACACTCCCCTTTCACTGGACATCTGAGGCAAATCCAACTTTAAGTGGGCAGGGAATTACAATTCTACCATGTATCCAGGAGGAAAAAAAAGCAGAAATACTGATGAACAGCACTACTGACTACCATCTACACATAAATTAACCAGCAAGCCCAAATCAGGCTTAATGGAAAACCAAGGAAGAAATTTCTTTAAAGCTAGCAACATGGCAAGGCCATCTACTGTCACAATTCTTAACATTATTTTGCATGCATTAACCAACACAATTAGACAAAGGAAAGAATTTGGAGGTTAAAATTACCACAATGCACAGATGCTACGATTATAGACACAAGAAAATCAACTAAAAACTATTATAAATTGTAAACGGATAAAAGCACATGGCTGACAAAATTATTACACAACAATCAACAGCTTTCAGGACATCCCTGGTGGTCCAGTGTTTAAGACTCCGCACTCCCAACGCAGGCGGCACGGGTTTGATCCTTGGGTGGGGAGCTAAGATCCCACATGCTGCAGGGCACAGCCACAAAAACCAACCAAACAAACAACAGCTTTCACATCTAAAAAGAACGGAAGATACAGTGGAAGAAAAGACCTCATTTACTGTAGCACCAAGGAAATGCAAAACACCCATGAACAAACCTAACAAGAAATATGCAACATGGATATAAAAAAGAGCTTGGTATATCATAAAGGTAACATATCAAATAAAAGGGGAAAGTGGATTATTCAATTAATGGTATTGAGATAAACTTGATAACCTTTTTTGGGGGGGAAAATATATGTATCTAAAGTTTGATCCATACCTCATACCATACCAGAACAAATTCCAAATAAGTCAAAGACTTAACTGAAAAAATGAAACCCTAAGGGAACAAGAAACCATGGGGAAATCACTTTATAACCTGGTGTGCAGAGGTCTAACAATGATACGAAACTGGAAGCCATAAAACAAAAAGTTGACAGTCCAATGTATTAATAATTTAACATCTCTGCATGGCAGAAATCACCATGAGCAAAGTTAAAAGAAACAAGCAGGGAAAGGAACACGTGCAGCTCCCGGCCCTTTGTGCCGACTGGTGAGCAGTGCTGCAGACTGTAGGAAAACAACTAAGGCAGAGGAAGAACAGACAAAGGATGTGAACAGAGGAAATTTATGGGAGATAAAATGAAATGTTCTTAAGTATATGACCAGAAGTCCGGCCGCACTCAAAAATAAGAGTCATGAAAAATCCTGGGATTCCAGAGATTCCACTTTTCATTTGTAAGATTGTTAAAAATCAACAAGTTTGATTTGTAAGTTACTAGAGCTCTACAGAGGGTAACCTGGCAGTATCTACTAAGTAAGAAATGCACGTACACTTTGACCCAGAAGTCTACCGCTGTCAAGTATCCCTTATTATTATTATTATTTTTTTGGCTGCGCTGCACGGCTTGTGAGATCTTAGTTCCCCGACCAGGGATTGAACCCGGGCCCTCAGCAGTGAAAGCGCCAGAGTCCTAACTACTGGACCGCCAGGGAATTCCCCCCATGTTGTTTATTGCAGCATGTTACAGCAAGACACCAGACACAAACTAAATGTTCCCGGATAGCAGATAGGAGTACAGCACAGCCCCACAGAGGAATGGAACACTACTTAGGCTCAAAAAAAAAAAAAGTAACACTTCATATATTGATATACAAAGATCATCAAGATAAATTAGGTGCAAAAACCAAGATGCAGAACAGAGTTCTATATGCTATAGAAAAGGGGGACTCGAATGACACATACTGCCTTGCCCTTGCACAAGTTAGGTCTGGACCACCCAGGAGACCGATGACATCAGTGGCCTTTGGAGGTGGTAACTGGGCAGCTGAGGGACAAAAAGGAGATGGAGACATACATTTCACTTTTTACGTGTCTGCACCTAGGATGTCATTTTTACAGGTCACTGCTACAGACTTCCATCTGTCTGCTGTGGAGAAAGGAATCCCGGACCGGGAGTCAGGGGAAAAGCCTTCTACACCAGGCTCCGCGACTGGCTCCGAGTGACCTGGGCTGGCTGCCTTGTCCATTCTGCAAACTCGGGCCGTGTGCTCCCCTGGGAGTGCACTGTCCAGTGGGCACACTGAGTGAAAGGCAGTGTGGTGAGGGGCCAACGTGGAGGTGGGGACACCTCTGAGGAAGTGGCCAGTGGCAGGCGGAGGTGGAAACATAGGTAGGATCAGATCCCAGACAGCGTCCAAGCCATGACAGGCTTTTACTTTATCCAAAGTGGGACAAGGAGCTATTGAAGGGTTTTAAGCAGAAGAGAGATATGCTCTACTTTTGTGTTTAAAAGGTTACCCTGGGGGCTGTGTACAGTGTATCAGAAAAGAAGCAGGTAGTATCTACTGAAATTACAGTGCACACACTGGAAATTACAGTGCACACACTGCAAAATATACAAGTAGGTAGGGACTTCCCTGGTGGCACAGTGGTTAGGACTCCACGCTCCCAGTGCAGCGGGCCCTGGTTTGATCCCTGGTCAGGGAACTAGATCCCACATGCCACAACTAAGAGTTCACATGCTGCAACTAAGGAGCCCACGTGCCACAACCAAGAAGCTGGTGAGTTGCAACTAAGGAGCCTGTCTGCCGCAACTAAGACCCGGCGCAACCAAATAAATAAATATTAAAGAATAAAATAAAATAAAATACTTACGAATAAATATTAAAAAAACAAACAAAGAAAAAAGTAGGTGGAGGTGAGTTAACATGGCTGAGACCAAGGTGGTGGCATTTGGGTGGAACTGGAAAGAGGTAGATGGATCCAAGCTATATGGTGGAAATGACAATAACTGATGATTGAACAAATGTGGCAGCTTCACAACTTTCACAGCTGGGTGAATGGAGAGGCAATGTACTTCCATTAGAAAGACAAAGAGCCTGCTAAGAATGGGGTGGGAGCCAGGTACCTGCTGAGTTAAGAGGTGGGAGACATTTACGTGAAGATGCCAAGTACAAAGGCAGGTGAACACAAGAGGCCAGAGCTCAGAGGAGAGGCTGCGCTCAAGACAAAATGTGGGCACCACCAGAAAGGAGAATGGATTTAAAGCCATGGGACTGTCTGAGAACCTGTGGGGGAAAGTACAAAGAGACCCCAGACCAGGTCCCGGAGAGAGGAAGAGAAGTCTGCAAAGAGATGGAAGTACACCAGCCAGGGAGGCAGGAGGAAAACCAAGATGCCTCAGAAGCCAAGCAAGGAAAGTTTCCGGAAGGAGAAAAGGTCAAAGGTTACTGAGAGGACAGAAAAATGAGAGCAGATTTGGCAACACGGATGTCCTCAGTGACGGATAAAGGCAGCTTGAGTGGAGTGTCGGGGCAGAGGGGGTTGGCAGAGGTTGAAGGATGTGAAAAAATAGTGAAACAAGTACAGAAGATTCTTGAAGTCTGGCTCTGAATGAGGCACACGGCAGTGGAGAGGGAGCGGAGGATATGGGACAAGTCAGATAATGGGACCTATCTGCACGTCGATGATGAACGTGACTTAATGGACAGGCAAAAAAGTAAGGATGCGAAAGGAAGGTGACAGAGGGGTGAAGGCCTCAGGAAGCAGCAACGGGGATTCAGCGGGCACGTGGAAGGGCCTCGGAAGGGGGCATAGAAGAGGAAGGGGGAGAAGACTGCAGCGGCAAATACTGTTCTAGATCCGATGAAGTAACACCGATGACTGGCATCCTCTAGGATGGGTTCTGCAGAATGGAGTAGTTAAGGATACAGGGAGACCCAGTCTACTCGCATGGGTGCTGTGAAGAACAAAGAATAAAGGATGTCAACACGCTTTAGCAGAAAAAGAGGGCGTGGCCCTTATTCTGTGAGTCTGCTGTCACCTCCACACTCAAACCTGGCAGGAACAGAACAAGACAGCAAAGTTACAGACCAGGCTCACTCACTAACGTGGTGGCCAAGATCCTGAACAAGTCTCAGCCAACAGAAACCAGCAACAAGCAAAAAAAAATGGCAACATCAAATCCAATTCCACAAATATCCGAGTGCCTATCAAGTGTCAGGCACTGAGGACACTGCAGTAAATAAAACCGACAAGAATCTCTGCTGCGACAGAAGTTAAGACTGTGGGGGTATAGGGAATGTAGAAAAGCGGAAAATGAATAAGTTAGAGGGATGCAGACTCCTTGAAGACAGGGAGCAGGAGTTCAACGGGTGCAGAGCACGGGATGAGCAGTGAATAAACAAACGAGTTCTCGCAGGACCTGCATCTTCCCTGAGCTCCCCGAACCGACAGCGCTGTAGTGACAGGGACGTACCATCCTTCTTGGGAAACTCCATCTCCGCTTCTCGGGCCAGGCTGGCTGAAGGCACGTCGCTGCCGTCCCCTCCTTGCGCGGCGAGGGCTGTCAGAAGTCACTGCGGGGACCAGAAGCAAGAAGGTGAGCGGGTGTCAGAGCCCAGGCCCCGGGTTCCTCCAGCCCCAGGGAAGCCCCGCAGCGTGGGCCGCTGCAGCTCGGACTAGGCAGAGGGGCCTGGCGGCCGCGGCGGATCAGGGACGGACGGGGAGGCCGGTAGAGGCCACCTGAGCCGCAGCCCAAGGCCCTCCGCGACGCACACCCCGGGCTCGCACGCCTCCGGGCCGGAAGCTCTGGGGCGGCACCGTCCGAGGGAGGCCTGAACGCCCCGGACCCAGACCCGGGCCACCGAACTCCTGGGCTGGACTGCCGGGGGCTTTGGTTTGCCCCCAGGGCGACCCCGCCCTCGCCGCACGGCGCGAGGGGACCCCGCGGCCCCCAGGCCGAGCCCCTGCCGCGCCCGAGTCCCCCGGGACCCCCGGCCCGAGCCGCCCGCCACGCCTGAGCACCCCACTGGTGCCCGCTCACCCCGAGCTGCCGCGACGCTCCGGCCGACGCACCTCCTTCCCGGGTTTAAACGCGCCGCGGCGGACGCGCTGCGGGCTGCTCATTGGCCGGTTTGAAAGGCCGCGGCGCCCGGTGCATCCTGGGGTTTGTAGTCGGAGTCACAGAAGAGGAGCGCGGCGCGCGTGCGCACTGCTTCCGCGCTCTTCGCTTGCCCGAGGTCCGCCCCGAGCCTGCGGTGAACCCGCAGCGTGGGGCAGGGTTCCATAGAGCTCGCGTGGTGTCTCCGCAGTCTCGGCATCAGGACAGCTACACGTTGCAAGGGATATAGTTCTAATCCCAGCTCTTCATCCCTAAGTAAAAATCAAATTCCTATCGTAGGGTGTTGACGTGGCGACCAAACAAAATAGGTGCATCTACCTGCTTTGTAAAGCGTTACGGGTCAGTTCTTAATAGCTTAAGAAGACCCGTCCCTGCCCCGAGGAGCGCCCGGGAGTCTCTGGGTGACCAGACATCCTAGTTTATGCCCCTGGACCAGGAGAACCTGTCTAGGGCCTGAGCACGGCCTGCCCTCTGCAACCCGTTTAGGCTTAGTCGTGGCATCCCTGGCACCTCGTTTCTATCTGGGGGCTCCCTCTGCAGCCTTCAGCCTCGCTCTTTGCCTCCCCCTCCACTGCATTCTGATGTACTAGTCTCCCCGCTCTCGTCCCTGAGCCTCTGTCCATGGCTCCTTTCTGAGCTCCATCATCTGCTCAGGATCCTGCTTAAGTGAAGAAAGATGGGGCCAGACAGACCCAGGTGCAAATCCCAGCTGCAGGTATTGGTCAAGAGCCTTTGCGTTGCAAGTTACAGAAAACCAGCTTCAAGCTGGCTTCAGAAAAAGAATTTATTAGCTTGAGGAACAGGGAAGTCCAGGAATGGCCCTGGCTGCTGGCCTGGAAGGAGAGAGGGGCTTGAAGGAGGGTCCTGGGTCGGATTGTCCCCCCAGCGGCCTCTCTGGGTCCCGCTCAGCTTCCAGCAGGCTGCCTTTGTTGGGCCCACTGGCCCGGGAGCTCCACGCTTCCCTCGGCCTGCCAGGGCCTCCTGAAGACAGCAGCCAGGTTGGTGCGGCCTGTGCTCAATCCATGGTCCCAAGGCCCGGGTTTGCCTGACTCACGACTACAGGGCCACTGTGGCAGGAGCCCAGAGGGTCCTAGATGCGAGGGCTGTTGGCCCAGGTGTCAGGTCCCCACAGCCCTGTGGGTGTCTGCTGGGGGCGAGGGTCCCCAAACACCCACTCCCGATGCTCTTCCCCCTGTATCACGTCAGCACGAACTATGTGCTTAGTAAACACCCCAATTGTTAACAAGTTGTTGCTGCTATATCTTCATCCATCTCTTCTCTTGGCCTCCTCCTCTCTTCTATCAATGGCCTACCCACTGTAGATTCGTTTCTTCCTTTCCCCAGTAGATTCTGCTTCATTTTTTAATGCACTCATTCAAGGGATCATTCACCAGTCATGGGTTCACTGACAGGTAGTCAGTGCAGGCTCTGTGCTGGGTGATGCGGGGACACAGATGCTGTCCCTGATCTGAGGAGGTCACAGCTGGGGAGAAAGGTGCCATAGCAAGGGCTGTGGGGCACCAGCCTGCAGTGGGAGAGCAGAGGCCTTCCTGGAGGAGGGACCAGGGTTCCTGCTTCCCTGGCCAAGTTGTGTCTTGCTTGGAACCAGGAGCGGGGAGGGCAGACGGGGCGTGGGCAGGCTCTGTCAGGGGAACTGGCAGGAGGGGACAGCTCAGGATGGGAAGGCAGGCTCTCCCTTGGGTTGTGTCCCCAGCTCCTGGGGATTAACAGCCCCTCTCTTGAAATCCCATTGTAATTACTCTGTTCTTGACTCACTGCCCAGCCCCACACCCAAGTTCAAGGAGAAGCCTGTCTCCCCAGGACCCAGCCCAGGCCTGAAAAATAGAAGATGCCCACCCAGCAACAGTTAGTCAAAGGAACCGATTAATTTATTTTAATCCCAGGAATTTGTCTAGTCGATTTGCAGGTGTCTGCTGTCTCCCAGGAGACCTGCTCCCGTGAGTCTCTAGCTAATTTCAGTTTGCACTGAAGGAACCTGAGAAACATCTATGGGCTGGGATCGCCCCTCACAGCATGGCCAAGTCGGCACGTTCTCCTGAGACCTGCAGCGTGCTCGGGGGTGGGGCGGGGGGGCCGTCAGGGCCAGGTTACTGATGGGGAAGGAGACGGAGGCAGCATTTATAAAACTGGCTCAGATCTTGTTCAAGCCACATCACAATGCTTTGGTTTTTGCCACAGCAAGGCAACCTCTGAGCTCGATCCTCACACCCCAGAAAGCACACCACCAGCTCAGTGAGTGTGCATTCCTATGATTAAAAGCATGGCTGACAAAGGAAACCAGGTACCCAAGGCCCCTTTACGAAGTCCAGCTTAGAATAAAGAGAAACCAAGCCCAAACCAGCGCCCTCAAAGCCCAGGGAGAAGCTTGAGGACATCTCTGCAGAGACAGCAGAAGGGCCGAGGCCCCAGGCAGCAAGATGGGGGTCCCTCTCCCAGGAAGCACAGGGGCCTGGGGTGAATGTCGGCACGGCCTCCGCTAGCTGTGACCCTGGGCAAGTCACTCCCCGACATTGGTACCCTCACCCAAAAGGTCAGACAACAGAACCTGCCTGGAATACAGGGAGGAAGACAGAATGAAGGGGTTTTATCCCAGGGGCAGCCTAGGCTGGGGGGGAGGGGTGCCCCCAGGGGCTGTGTAGGAGACTCCCCTCCCCCAGCTGAGCCCAGCACCAACCCTTCCGACCCTTGACCGACCACAAGGTATAAGGGTCCCCTGGGCAAGGCAAGTGGAACAGCGGTCCCCACCTCGGCTCTGACTGCTTAAAACTGCACCCTGGCCCTTAACGAGGATTAGAAGATTCAGAATCATGTTGAAAATTGATTTCTGTCCCCTCTTCCTGTAATGCTGCTGGTTACAGGGCTTCGTGCTTTACAGGCCTAATCAACAGGCTCCAGCTACTTGTAACCCTGCGAAGCCAGTGTGGCAGCTGGTCTGATGGCCCGGGAGGCTCCGCGGGGGCAGGCGGCCAGGCCGGCTCACTGCAGGAGGTGGACGGCGGCCGCCCTGCGGAGGAGCCTCGCAGTCAGTGGGGAGTTGGGCTTCAAGGCGTCTCGCTCCATCAGAAGGCTCCTGGGGAAACAGAGACAGGCTCTGTGTTGGAACCTCCTAGAATGTGGGGGGCGGATGGTCCCTCCACCCCAAGGCAGGACACAGGCAGCACGGGCTGGGGCCAAAGTGGCAGAGAGCAAGATGCTCCCCTTCCCAAGCGGTGGAGGGAGGGGACGGCCACGGCAGAGGGGACTAGAGGGACAAAGGCCCAGAGGCAGGACGCCAGGGGTGGGGACCAGAGGGAAGGTGGGCGGAGATGTGAGGATGAGAAAGCGTGGACTCCAGAGCCCCCGCGTGCTTGCACTGGCCCAGGACATCCGGTGTTCAAAGAGCATCCTGACAATGCTCCCAGCGATGCCCGAGTGCAGAAAATTTCAGGGTGAGCACATCCCAGTGGCCTCGTCTGCCCCAGGAACTTGGGGCCCATCCTCCCACCATACAGAATGCTGGGACCAGAGGGTAGAGCACGACTGTGGGGATGGTGGGGAGAGCCACGCCTGAGGATGTTCCAGGAAAGCGAGTGGCAGAAGAGATGGTGTGGGAAAAACCGAACTTTCAACAAAGGGAGAATCATTTAAGGCAAAGACCCCAAACAATTGACAACGGCGATTCCGTGCGCTGAGGGTGCAGTTAAGGGGCCGGGGCCTGGCACTTGGGGCAGGGACACCATGGCAGGGGGCCGAGGGTTTCCACCTTGGACGGGAGGGGAGCTGAGCCATGTGTGGATGGCAGGAGGGCACCAGGAGGGGGCGTGCCTGTCACCCCGAAGCAGGAGGCTCCCCTCGCACTCCCAGGGGCAGACCCCCTACTGCACCCCCTGCCCCCCAGCGTGGACCTCATCACCCCGCCCGTGTGCTGGCCCCAGCTCCCCTGCTCAAGCCCGCACCCTCCTCTCTGTCCAAGGGGCCCTACCCTCCCTGCCTAGCTGCCAGAGGTGCCACACCAGGCCTGGAGCTCCCCAAGTGGCTCCACCACTAGAGAAATACGTGTGGTTTTGCACGTGGCCACGGAAGGGGACAGCGAGGGGCATGTGTCCAGGGCGCTCCAGGGTTTGACCATTTCCAGCGTGTCCATCCAGACTCAGGTGTGACACAGCGTCCACACCTCTTTCACCAGCACCTGCACTGCTCGCTTTGGAACGGTCGTCGGGGCAGCCGGACCCTGCCCACCATGGGCCGCCCGTGCCTGTGCTTGGACACTGGCGCTTTCCACCTGACCTCTAACCTCGAGCGCCCAGCAAGGGCCTCCTGGGCCCCACGGTGCAGCCTGGACTTGCAGCGGCAGCTTTGCTGGGCCTCACGACACCCCTTCTGCCCACCTGGCACCCCTTGGCTCCCCTCTTTCCCCTTGGCGTTCCAGGAGGGCCTAAGGGATGGGGGGGGTCACATCTCCCACCAGGAGCATCAGGGCTGGTGCAGGTCGAGGTGAATGGGGTGTGGGACAGCAAAGGCTGCCGGCGATGGCTGGCTTCACGGGTAGAGCTTTCTTCTTGGGGTGCCCCTACCCTGACACCCCCAATCCTCCAGCCACACCGCTCCTCCTAACCAGATCACCCCTGGCCTGGTTAAACTCGCTTGGTTTCAGGCCTCCCCGAGAGTGTCACCTCCACCAGGCACCCTCCCTCCCGACCCCCGCCCACTCATCACAGCGTCTTGGGCAATACACCCACCCTCATGTCAGTTTTACACATATTTGTGGCATTGGTTGCCTCGTGTCAGTTCCCACAGGAGAGGTAAGCTCCATGCAGCCTGGGCCTGGGTCTCCTGCCCACCACTCCCCCCACCCCGCCCCTGGCACCCAGCACAGGTAGGAGAATGTGAGCTGAGACCCAAAGGATCGATAGGCGTCAGCAGGTGAAAGAGAAGAAAGGATGTCCCAGGCAGAGGGTGTGGCACGTGCAAAGGCCCAGGGGCCTGAAAGAGTAACTGTAGCTCACTGTGGCCAGAAATGAGGAGTGGGCTGGGAGGGCAGGAGGGTGGGCCTGGGGGTCGGGGTGGTCAGATCCTTTGGTCAAGTTGAAGACGCTCACAGGGGGAGAACCAGGCACCCCCGTAGCCTTGCATCTCTGCCTCAGAGGTGGGCGCCACCTCGGGCCAAGGGAGGTGGGAGCCTCTGGGCACCTGGAAGCCTGTGGGGAGACCCCCGAGTGAGATGGGGCTGTGCTCGGGGTCCTTCCCAGCTGGGCTTTGGGACCAGAACGAGGAACTCACCGGGCCACGTTCTTGTGGATGCCGGACGAGCAGTTTAAGGCCGCGTGAATCAGTAACTGGTTGAAGATGTCTCTCTGAAAGGTCAAGTGGGCACGTGAGGCTCTGTGACGTGGGACGAGGTATAGGGACGCCTGCCCCCTCCCTGCTGCAGGCTGGCCTGTTCTCAGGGACAAGCTTACTGGGGGATGTGAACGACAAGGACTCTCCCACACTGTGGGCGCCAACACCGCGGAGACAGAGGCCGTGGGGCACAGGGACTCCAGGACTGGCCCTCGTGCCGCAGCTGCTGGCTCACCTGGGCGTTGCTGCCTCCGATCTGAACAATCCGGTAGCGGATGGGCAGGAGCAGTTCCACCACGCCGTCGGGGTTCCCACTCTGGGCCTCCACCAGGGCCTGGCACAAGGGCAGCCCCACGTCGCGGGCCAGGAGGTGCTGGTGGTTCTCCCCCGGGGATCTGCCAGCCCAAGAGGGTGCCCCCAGCGTCCTGCAGGGCCTCGTGCTGCCCCCCCCCCCCACCC